CACTTCGCGGGCGGAGACTGTGGGAGGCATAGGGAGGAAGCTTCAGAGCCACGGCGGAGAGCGCAGCAACAGGGGTGTGGAGGGCAAAGCAGAGAGATTCCCGCACAGAGGATCGGTGCCAACCAGCACTCACCAGCCCGAGAGGCTTGTCTGCTCACCCGCCGGGACGGGCGGGGTCTGGGAGCTGAGGCTCGGGCTTCGGAGGTCGGAGCGCAGGGAGAGGACTGGGGTTGGCGGCGTGAACACAGCCTGAAGGGGGCTAGTGCACCACGGCTAGCCGAGAGGGAGTCCGGGAAAAGGTCTAGACCTGCCGAAGAGGCAAGAGACTTTTTCTTGCCTCTTGGTTTCGTGGTGCGCGAGGAGAGGGGATTAAGAGCGCCGCTTAAAGGAGCTCCAAAGACTGGCGCGAGCCGCGGCTATCAGCGCGGACCCCAGAGACTGGCATGAAACGCTAAGGCTACTGCTGCAGCCACCAAGAAGCCTGTGTGCAAGCACAGGTCACTATCCACACCTCCCCTCCCGGGAGCCTGTGCAGACCGCCACTGCCAGGGTCCCGGGATCCAGGGACAACTTCCCCGGGAGAACGCACGGCGCGCCTCAGTCTGTTGCAACGTCACACTGGCCTGATAATCATTACCACTGATAATCATAGATGAGAAAATCCTCAACAAAATACTAGCAAACAGAATCCAACAGCACATTGAAAGGATCATACATCAAGATCAAGTGGAGTTTATCCCAGGAATACAAGGATTCTTCAATATACGCTAATCAATGTGATGCACCATATTAACAAATTGAAGGATAAATACCATATGATAATCTCAATAGATGCAGAAAAAGCTTTTGACAAATTCAACACCATTTATGATAAAAACTCTCCAGAAAGTAGGCATAGAGGTAACCTACCTCAACATAATAAAGGCCATATATGACAAACCCACAGCCAACATTGTTCTCAATGGTGAAAAACTGAAACCATTTCCTCTAAGATCAGGAACAAGACAAGGTTGTCCACTCTCACCACTATTATTCAATATAGTTTTGGAAGTTTTAGCCACGGCAATCAGAGAATAAAAAGAAACAAAAGGAATCCAAATCAGAAAAAAAGAATTAAAACTGTCACTGTTTGCAGATGGCATGATACTATACATAGAGAATCCTAAAGATGCTACCAGAAAACTACTAGAGCTAATCAATGAATTTGGTAAAGTAGCAGGGTACAAAATTAATGCACAGAAATCTTTTGCATTCCTATACAATAATGATGAAAAATCTGAAAGTGAAATTAAGAAAACACTCCCATTTACCATGGCAACAAAAAGAATAAAATATCTAGGAATAAACCTACCTAAGGAGATAAAAGACCTGTATGCAGAAAACTATAAGACACTGATGAAAGAAATTAAAGATGATATAAACAGATGGAGAGATATACCATGTTCTTGGATTGGAAGAATCAACATTGTGAAAACGACTCTACTACCCAAAGCAATCTACAGATTCAATGCAATCCCTATCAAACTACCACTGGCATTTTTCACAGAACTAGAGCAAAAAAATTCAGTTTGTATGGAAACACAAAAGACCCCGAATAGCCAAAGCAATCTTAAGAAAGAAAAACGGAGCTGGAGGAATCAGGCTCCCGGACTTCAGACTATACTACAAGGCTACAGTAATCAAGACAGTATGGTACTGGCACAAAAACAGCAATACAGATCAATGGAACAGGATAGAAAGCCCAGAGATAAACCCAGGCACATATGGTCACCTTATCTTTGACAAAGGAGGCAAGAATATACAATGGAGTACATACAGCCTCTTCAATAAGTGGTTAGGGAGTGTTCTAGTTTCATAAGAATGAAATTAGAAAACTTCCTAATACCATACACAAAAATAAACTCAAAATGGATTAAAGACCTAAATGTAAGGCCAATCACTATAGAACTCTTAGAGGAAAATACAGGCAGAACACACTATGATGTAAATCACAGCAAGATCCTTTTTGACCTACCTCCTAGAGAAATGGAAATAAGAACAAAAATAAACAAATGGAACCTAATGAAACTTCAAAGTTTTGCACAGCAAAGGAAACCATAAACAAGATGAAAAGACAACCCTCAGAATGTGAGATAATATTTGCAAACGAAGCAACTGACAAAGGATTAATCTCCAAAATATACAAGCAGCTCATGCAGCTCAATATCAAAAAAACAAACAACCCAATCCAAAAATGGGTGGAAGAACTAAATAGACATTTCTCCAAAGAAGATATACAGATGGCCAACAAACACATGAAAGGATGCTCAACATCACTAATCATTAGAGAAACACAAATCAAAACTACAATGAGGTATCACCTCACACCAGTCAAAATGGCCATCATCAAAAAATTTACAAACAATAAATGCTGGAGAGGGTGTGGAGAAAAGGGAACCCTCTTGCACTGTTGGTGGGAATGTAAATTGATACAGCCACCTTGGAGAACAGTATGGAGATTCCTTAAAAAACTAAAAATAGAACTACCATATGACCCAGCAATCCCACTACTGGGCATATACCCTGAGAAAACCATAATTCAAAAAGAGACATGTACCACAATGTTCATTGCAGTAGTATTTACAATAGCCAAGCAACCTAATTGCCCATCAACAGATGAATGGATAAAGAAGATGTAGCACATGTATACAATGGAATATTACTCAACCATAAAAAGAAACAAAATTGAGTTATTTGTAGTGAGGTGGATGGACCTGGAGTCTCTCATACAGAGTGAAGTAAGTCAGAAAGAGAAAAACAAATACCATATGCTAACACATATATGGAACCTAAAAAAAAAAAAATGGTACTGATGCACCTTGGGGCAGGACAGGAATAAAGACGCAGATGTAGAGAATGGACTTGAGGATACAGGGAGGGGGAAGGGTAAGCTGGGACGAAGGAAGAGAGTAGCAGTGACATATATACACTACCAAATGTAAAATAGATATCTAGTGGGAAGCAGCTGCATAGCACAGGGAGAACAGTTCGGTGCTTTGTGACCACCTAGAGGGGTGGGATAGGGAGGGTGGGAGGGAGACGCAAGAGGGAGGGGATATGGGGATACATGTATACATGTAGCTTATTCACTTTGTTATACAGCAGAAACCAGCACAACACTGTAAAGCAATTATATTCCAATAAAGATGTTTTTAAAAAATTAAAAAATAAAAGTAAAAAAACAAACAAAAAAGGACTTTCTAAAATTATCTAAAAGTCATATAAAAACTATGACAAAAATAGAGGGGCATATCCCCATTTTATAAGCTATGTGCTCTATTTTCCAATTAAAATTGAAAGGGAGAGACAGAATGAGCAAGAAAATTATCTTTCCCAGAATAGTATTTATCTATGGGGAGAAAGACATGGGAAGAAGGGAGTGGCTATCATGTTTTGTTTTATATCTTTCTGTACTATTCAAAATTTCTACTTCTATACTTTTGTAGCTTTTTAAATAACAACAAGGGTTATCTGATGGGAAACTTTTGTTTTCCATTTCAATTTTTTTTTTTTTTTGCGGTACGCGGGCCTCTCACTGTTGTGGCCTCTCCCATTGCGGAGCGCAGGCTCAGCGGCCATGGCTCACAGGCCCAGCCGCTCCGCGGCATGTGGGACCCTCCCAGACCGGGACACAAACCCGCGTCCCCTGCATCGGCAGGTGGACTCTCAACCACTGTGCCACCAGGGAAGCCCCTTCAATTTCAATCTTTTAAAACTTATTTTACTGAAGTATGGTTGATATAGAATGTTGTGTTGATTTCTGCTGTATAGCAAAGTGATTCAGTTATTTATATACATATATTCTTTTTCATATTCTTTTCCATTATGTTTTATCACAAGATATTGAATATAGTTCCCTGTGCTATATAGTGGGACCTTGTTTATCCATTCTATATATAATAGTTTTCATCTGCTACTTCCAAACTCCCAATCCATTCCCTCCACCCCCCTCATTTTATTTTTTGTATCTACTGTATTTTTAAGTGAATAAATATTATATTATAAAGAGTAAAAAAAAAAAAGAGTGAAGCAGCTGTCAGTCTGTTTATTTGGACTAAGAGTTTATGAGAACCTAAAGTGGACTCTAGAATTGACCATTCTAGACAAGTTGAGCCACAGTGAAATGTGGTTAGAGGCATCTAAGCTTAAGGGGTCAGTCTAGGGATGGTAAACTCCAATTTCTAAAATTCTAATTCATTTTGCTTTCAGAAGAGATATTCATTGGGTTAACTGGGTTCATACAGAGGAAGATGACCTGAATGAATATTGGATACCAAAGCATGTTAGATAAAGGAATTTTAAAGGAACAAGTGGGTGGTTGGCTGTGAAAATTGAATTTGGGCAAATACAGAAACTGACTTCAGTGAGTTGTGGTATAAAAGGATAATGAAAATTATTCTAGGAGTAAAACTAGGGAAAGTGGGTTGAAGTTATAGGAAAATTGATTTTGACTTACCATAAGGAAGATCTTTCTAACAGTAAGAAAACTATCTACCTATATGAAAGGGAATGATCCTAGAACGTAGAGCGCTAGCTACACCGTTCTTGTTTATGCGAATGCTGGACAATTACTCAATGGCACTATCATGGAGTGGTTGAATCCTCAGGCATATGTCTGGATTAGATGACTGTTGAATTCACTTTTTACTCTGATCGTCTGTGTTTATATGGACGTTGGGGTGATGATATAAAAACTCATCGTCTGGAGCTTTCAGGAGAGAACGTCATGAACTAGGAAGTAGTGTGGCCTCTGGCACCTTTCTACAAGCTGAAATGCTTTGGGCAGTGAATGAGACCAGTATTAAATACACTGATGGTTTTGATTAGACGATTCCTGGTTTTGTACAACTGGGACATCCAAACTTGAAAAGTCTTTAATGTTAGAATCATGTATTTAATTCATATTAGACATTATCTCTGGATAATCCAGTTTAAATCTCTTAAATTCAAGGGTGATCAAGCTTAAAACATGTCCATGTTAGCTGAATTAACCAAAAACTCCTTCAAAATAGCATGTAGTGCTTTTCATAATCAAGAAATAACCTAACTTTTCATCCTTTTATTTATTCCGTATGTTTAGGGTGGTGTATTCACAGTTTCTGGAACATGTTCCTTACTTTTATGCCTCTTCCTGAAATGACCTAACTTGTAACTGTCGACTGAAATCCTGCTCCTCTTTTAAGGATGTTACTATAGCTCAAAAAGTCAGACCTAGAGGTCACCGTCTCTGAGAAAAGGACTTTCTTCCAGCCAGTTTCCTGAGAGTTCCTTTGACATCCTTGTTTCTCAGGCTATAAATTATGGGGTTCAACATTGGAGTCACCACTGTATAGAACACAGATATCATTTTATCCCATTCTTCTGTGGTCTTGGAATTTGGCCACATGTAGGTAAATATTCCTGATCCATAAAAGAGGACAACAACAATGAGATGGGAGCCACAGGCAGAGAAAGCCTTGAGCCTCCCCTCCCCAGACTGCATCTGGATCACAGTGGAGATGATATTCCAGTAGGAGACAAGGATCAGGGAGACAGGAGCTAAGAGGATGACCACACCCATTGCAAAGATGGCCATTTCTGTGCTGTAAGTCTCTGCTGAAGCCAGCTTCAGGAGGGCAGGGGGTTCACAAAAGTAGTGATAATGTTCTGTCCTTGATAGGGAAGTTGAAAAGTAAAGGTGGTATCTACCAGAGACACCAGTGCACCACTGGCCCAGGACCCTATGGTCAACTGGAGACACACTTGTGGGGTCATGATCGTGGAGTAGTGCAGGGGCTTGCAGAGAGCCACATGCCAGTCATAGGACATCACTGCCAGCAGTGCGCATTCTGTGCCCCCAACCAGAAGGTAAACAATGATCTGTGTCATACACCCAAAAAAAGAAATAGTTTTCCTCTTTACCAGGAAGTGGACCAACACTTGAAGGACAATACTAGTAGAGAAACAGAGATCTGTGAAAGAGAGATTTCTAAGAAAAAAGTACATGGGGGTGTGAAGTCGAGAATCCATGAAGATGAGAAGAGTGATGAGCAGGTTTCCAAGCACAGTCAACAGATAAATGATAAGAAAAAGAATAAACAGCAGGATCTGGGTCTGCAAGTCCTGTGAAAGGCCAAGGAAGATAAACTCAGCCACAAAAGTGTGGTTTTCTTCTCCCATTGAGATTTATGCTTGTTTACCTGTTTGGCACAAACAAATAGAACAGACTTAGGGTTTATGACATCAAGTCCTGTAGAAGAGGCGCATTTAAAGCTCAATTTAAAAACCCAATTAGATATTTCTAGCTTTTTGCTATCCAGCTTGTTCTAATTGATACTAAGTAGAATATTTTTATTCTTATTAGTTGATTGTAATTTAAATCCACCTCATTTTCCCCAAATCTCCTCTCCCCAGTGCCTCTTATTTATAGATAGAACATGATGTTGTTAAAGCCTTCTTGGCTACTTCTGATATGAGGATATTAGAGTTCCTGTGGATTTTACTAAATTGCTATACACATATTATTAGGAAATGACCATGTATACTGTTAGGACTACCACCTTGCATAAAACTCCACCACTAATTGTTCAAAATGCCACATATTTAATTATAACATATGCTTGAAAAACATGAAACAGTTTCTGGGCATCAATTTAATTTGACCTCTTAAAAAACAACAAAATTTTCTTGGGTTTAAAAACAAAGCTTTGGCATATCAACACTAAGGACCATTCTGTTTGGATTAAAGAATAAAATATTAAAAGTAAAACAATACAAAAAAGGAAAAATAGGTTAAAGTTGTTGTGATATATGGATAGGATCAGACTTGAAAATCACAAAAGCCTTCTAAGAAACCATGAAGGAAAACATGTGTAGAGTTTACAACATAAACTGAAAGATTTCTGTGAGATAATAATATCATGAACAAAATTAAAAGATAAACTACAAACTGAGGAAAATATTTTAGGGAGACATCAGATAAAAGTTAAAATACTTTATTAGATTATGATTCCATATAAAACACTATGAAAATTGTTGAGTCCAAGAAATAATGGGCCAAGGACATGAAAAGACTATTTACAAAGAAGAAATGCAAATAGCTACTAAATATAAGAAAAATATTCAATATTATTATGACTAAATACAATTACAACAATGAGAGATACAGTTTTTACCCGGGAAATTAGCTAAGATTTTTTTTTTAACATCTTTATTGGGGTATAATTGCTTTACAATGGTGTGTTAGTTTCTGCTTTATAACAAAGTGAATCAGTTATACATATACATATGTTCCCATATGTCTTCCCTCTTGCGTCTCCCTCCCTCCCACTCTCCCTATCCCACCCCTCCAGGCTGTCACAAAGCACCGAGCTAATATCCCTGTGCCATGCGGCTGCTTCCCACTAGCTATCTACCTTACTACGTTTGTTAGTGTGTATATGTCCATGACTCTCTCTCGCCCTGTCAAAGCTCACCCTTCCCCCTCCCCATATCCTCAAGTCCGTTCTCCAGTAGGTCTGCGTCTTTATTCCTGTCTTACCTTAGCTAAGATTTTAATAGCAACATCACAACAAAAAATAATAACTAGTATTTTATTGAGCATTTAATACATGTCAGGCATTACTATAAGGGTTTTATATTATTATATTGTCCTGATAACATTATGAGGTAGACACTATTTATCTTATTTTGCAGATAAGAAAACTGAGGCAAAGAGAGGTTAAATCACGCAATTAATAAATGGCAGAATTAATTAGCTGTATAATGTATAATGAAGGTGCAGAGAAAAAGACATTTTTGTACAATGCAAGTGAGTAGGAAAGTTAGTACAACATTTCTGAGAAACAATTTTGTCAAATATATTAAATGACTCAAATATTCATATGCTTTGACCCAGTTCTCAATAGTATGGGTAAGGGAGAAATTCCTTTTTTTTTTTTACTAGTCCTTTCTCCCCATGAGGAGTAAAAATATGATTTATAACATTTGAGGATGTTGATTGGTCCGTGATTACCACTGGGTAGGATTACTGTGCTTTAAAAGGTCATGCACATTTCTACTTCTCTTCTTCCTGGGACTGGACTGTTAAACTGAACAAGGTCCCCCTTAAGAACTTTACTTGCTCTGTCCTCTCGTTTTTGAATAGTTCCTAGGAGTACTCAACATCACTTTGTTCTTGTGTATCATGTTGCCAGCCAGAAGGTAATATGATGATACAATATGGATTTAAGCCATAAGGGAGCCTTAAATGACTGTAGACTAGACCACATAGCCCAATCCGTGCTTATCAGAGCTCTGAACTTCAGTGACATTAGGGACTAGCTTGGTTAATAAAAAGTAGTGTCTTATTTTTCATTACTTCACATTTCTTTTGTATAATTCTAAGGAGAGGAATGACTAAGAATAGAGTAGTATTAGGAGTTCCTGAATCCCCGAGGCCTAATATCATCTACTACTCGCAAACATTATCCCAATTTCTAAATCCAATTCTAGGAGCCCATTCTAAATAAATACTCTAAATTGAAGAAAATACGTTTATCACATCATAGTCATGAAATAATGGTTAAAAACAGACATTCAGACCAATGAAACATAATAGAGAGCCCAGAAATAAACCCACACATATATGGTCAACAAGGTGCCAAGAATACATTATGGGGAAAGGATAGTTTCTTCAATAAATGGTGTCAGGAAAACTGGATATCCACATACAAAAGAATGAAATTGGACCCTTATCTCACACCATATACAAAAATTAACTCAAAATAAATTAAAACAACTCCTAGAAGAAAATATAGGGAAAAAGCTTCTGGACATTAGTCTTGGTAATGATTCTTTGGATATGACAGTGAAAGCACAAGCAACATAAGCAAAAATAGACAAGTGAAACTACATCAAACTAAAAAGTCTCTGCATTCCAAAGGAAACAATTAACAAAATGAAAAGGTAACCTGTGGAATGGGAGAAAATATTTGCAAACCATATATCAGATAAAAGGTTAATATTTGAGTCACTCCCTCTTGCAAGAGCACCGGAATCACAACTAACAGCTGGGCAACCACTGACAGGAAGATACTGGAACTCACCAAGGAAGATACCCCACATCCAAAGACAAAGGAGAAGCTGCAATGAGATGGTAGGAGGGGTGTAATCACAAGATCAAGTCCTATAACTGCTGGGTGGGTGACTCACAAACTGGAGAAAAACTGTACCACAGAAGTCCACCCACTGGAGTGAGGGTTCTGAGCCCCACACCAGGCTTCCCAACCTGGGGGTCTGGCAATGGGAGGAGGAATTTCCAGAGAATCAGACTTTGAAGGCTTGTGGGATTTGATTGCAGGACTTCCACAGGACTGGGGGAAACAGAGACTCCACTCTTGGAGGGCACACACAAAGTAGTGTGTGCATCAAGACCCAGGGAGAAGGAGCAGTTACCCCATAGGAGACTGAGCCAGACCTGCCTGCTGGTGTTGGAGGGTCTCCTGCAGATGCAGGGGGTGGTTGTTTCTCACTGTGGGGATGAGGACAGTGGCAGCGGAAGTTCTGGGAAGTGCTCCTTGGCATGAGCCCTCCTGGAGTCTGCCATTAGCCCCACCAAAGAGCCTGTAGCCTCCAGTGCTGGGTTGCCTCAGGCCAAACAACCAACAGGGAGGGAACTCAGCCCCACCCATCAGCAGACAAGTGGATTAAAGTTTTACTGAGCTCTGCCCACCAGAGCAACACCCAGCTCTACCCACCACCAGTCCCTCCCATCAGGAAGCTTGCACAGGCCTCTTAGATAGCCTCATCCAGCAGAAGGAAGACAGCAGAAGCAGGAAGAACTACCATCCCACAGGCTATGGAACGAAAACCACATTCACAGAAAGATAGACAGAAAGAAAAGGCAGAGGACTATGTGCCAGATGAAGGAACAAGATAAAACCCCAGAAAAACAATTAAATGAAGTGGAGATAGGGAACCTTCCAGAAAAAGAATTCAGAATAATGATAGTGAGGATGATCCAGGACCTTGGAAAAAGAATGGAGGCAAAGATCGAGAAGATGCAAGAAATGTTTAACAAAGACCTAGAAGAATTAAAGAACAAACAAACAGAAATGAACAATACAATAACTGAAATGAAAAATACACTAGAAGGAATCAATAACAGAATAACTGAAGCAGAAGAACGGATAAGTGACCTGGAAGACAGAATGATGGAATTCACTGCCGCAGAACAGAATAAAGAAAAAAGAATGAAAAGAAATGAAGACAGCCTAAGAGACCTCTGGGACAACATTTAACGCAACAACATTTGCATTATAGGGGTCCCAGAAGGAGGAGAGAGAGAGAAAGGACTCAAGAAAATATCTGAAGAGATTATAGTCGAAAACTTCCCTAACATGGGAAATAAAATAGCCACCCAAGTCCAGGAAGAGCAGAGAGTCCCAGGCAGGACAAACCCAAGGAGAAACACATCGAGGCACATAGTAATCAAACTGACAAAAATTAAAGACAAAGAAAAATTAGTAAACGCAAAGGAAAAATGAAAAATAACATACAAGGGAATTCCCATAGGGTTAACAGCCAATTTCTCAGCAGAAACTCTACAAGCCAGAAGGGAGTGGCATGATATATTTAAAGTGATGAAAGGGAAGAACCTACAACCAAGATTACTCTAGCCAGCAAGGATCTCATTCAGATTCGACAGAGAAATCAAAAGCTTTACAGACAAACAAAAGCTAAGAGAATTCAGCACCACCAAACCAGCCCTACAAAAAATGTTAAAGGAACTTGTCTAAGTGGGAGATACAAGAGAAGAAAAGGAGCTACAAAAAAGCCCCAAAACAATTAAGAAAATGGTAATAGGAACATACATATGGAAAATTACCTTAAATGTGAGTGGATTAAATGCTCCAACCAAAAGACACAGGCTCACTGAATGGATACAAAAACAAGACCCGTATATATGCTGTCTACAAGAGACCCACTTCAGACCTAAGACACATACAGACTGAAAGTGAGGGGATGGAAAAATATATTCCATGCAAATGGAAATCAAAAGAAAGCTGGAGTAGCAATACTCATATCAGATAAAATGACTTTAAAATAAAGAACGTTACAAGAGACAAGGAAGGAAACTACATAATGATCAAGGGATCAATCCAAGAAGATGTAACAATTATAAATATATATGCACCCAACATAGGAGCACCTCAATACA